GAGCAGGCTGCGTCTGGGGCAGATGGTGGATCTGCGGTTCAGGTGGGTTACCCGGAGGCTGGGAGCAGCTCCCTGGGGCGCCCGCGTCTCCTGCAGCCCGTCCTGGTCATTGGGGGGGGGGTGCTGCCACAGAACACCGCATGCCGGGGCTCGATCGAGCAGCTGACATGGACTGCTCCCAGCGCTGGGGGCTGCGCGGACACATGGATTGCAACTACACAAACGGTTAGTTTTCGCCATCAGTGGCTCTGGCCTCTGCAGGTTACAGAGACTCCAAACATTTGGGTAATTTCCAGAGTGGGAAATGACAGGGTAAGACAAGCAGCCATCAGTCAGCACGCGTTCCGAACGTTCCAGGTAAATTGCATTGTGTTTGGGGACTGTGGGACCCAGATGGATCCATCCCAGGTCCCCCCGCGGACTGGCCTTACGGAACGACAACAGTAGCGGAGGTTTCCCTAGGACTGGTGAACACCCGCGGCTTTTCGTCACCATCTCGTCTCAATCTTTGCTCGCGAGTTCTTCCCAGGGGACCTGACCTCCGAGGTTGATAGCTGGGAGGACAGCGGCTGAGCCCGGGGAGTGACCGGGAGCCCCTGTCCAGCACCTTACCGCAAGGGAAACAGAGGATCTCAGGGAGGTACGACAGTGACTGTGATTTGGTTAGCCCTGCCACTATTTCTAGAATGAAAACATGCTTTCGCACAGTTGAGGAGGAAAAATACAAAAACGCAGGCTTTGCAATATTTTGGATCCTGTAGCTGCCATTTATTTGTGCTGTAATTCTGCAAGTGACAACCTTCTGTAAGACTTGGTTCTTTCTCTGCAAATTGGAGTCACCATGCCACTCACCAGCCTCATGGCCTGGTGAGAATCCCACCAGAGGTTCTAGGTTAGTGTCCTCGGTTCCAGCCGTGTCCTCGGTCATCACTGCTATGCAGTTTGGTTTTGAAGGGGTCACAGTTATTTAAAGGGGGAATCACATTTAGAAATTGTTCCTATATATATATTTTTAATTTTATTTATTTGACAGAGAGAGAGAGAGAGAGCATGAGCTGTGGGAGTGGCAGGCAGAGGGAGAAGCAGACTCCCCCCTGAGCAGGGAGCCCGATGCTGGGCTCTATCCCAGGACCCCAGAATCATGACCCAAGCCCAAGGCAGATGTTTAACTGACTGAGCCACCGAGGCGCCCCGAAATTGTTCCTTTAATTGACCCTGGCCAGTGTCTCCCTCCAGACGGTCAGTCTCAGGTGGTGAAGGTAGAAAGCCGTCCTTGTGAGGCAGGTCATCGAGGAAGTGGCACATAATTTGAAGTCCAGGGGAACTTTCAGGACCCAAAGGGCACATGGAACCACCTGAAATCTAGACAGCAGGGTCCACAACTTTCATAGTTTCAGAAAACCGGTTTGCTATAGTCAGCTCAGATTCACTGTATTTTGTATATTTATATATTTAGTTTGCTCAGAACACCTTTGGGGACCTGTACTAATGAACTCAGGATGATTTCTCCCCGGTGGACGGTATGGTCTGGTCCTTGTCTTGGCGTGTCCCCGTTACCTAGGAAGTAGGGGGCACAGTGCCCACCCATAGCTGGTGCCCATGCACCCCTCCTCCCTAGCGGGAGCTAGCAAAAGCAAAAAACACTTAAAATACAAAAATGGGGCTTCGCAGAATACCAGCGTTACTCTATGACGTTATTCAAGAGCGTTTACCTGGTGGTCCTCATGTGTAAGATTTTCCGTGCAAATGCACAGACTGCTTCCATAGTGTGTGTGTGTGTGTGTGTGTGTGTGTGTGTGTGTGTGTGTGTGTGGCGTGAAATGATGTTTCCCAATTATCTCTCTACCCTCTGGCTACTCACAGGGTAACAGCTGCACAGGCTGCAGGGGGCTAGGGGTGGGGAGGAAGGTCCTATGCAAAAATCTCTTTAGATTTTACAACAAGGAAGGAACACGTTGCCTCGCTTTCAAAAAGTCTCCAGCAAGATTATCTCGGGAATCAAATAGATACACATACATTATACGCACACATATAGACATTGGTGTTTATACACATACATGCATATATACTGTAGGAGACCAGAATATAAATAAAATAGGGATTATTTTGAGACCCAGCAAACACAGGAGAAGCTCTGAAAACAGAGTATAAGTGGCCCTTTTGTGAGGTACATTTGCATTTACAAAGGAAATCTCCATTTGTAAGGGTGTCCCCCTCTCTGCACCTGCAGGAGGTACAGGATGTCTAAATCACCAGAGACTCCCATCCTTGGAGGAGGCCCTGACTCCAGCTGCATAACAGCCTCGCCTTGTTTATGGGGTTTCTCCTGGTGACCTCCGTGCACTGACCTCCCCCACTGGGCTCCCCACACTGGCCTCCCTTCCTTTTCAGCTGAAGAGGGTGCTGGAGCCTGAGACTCAGCCACCTCCCCAGAGCTCCTCCTGCATGAGATGTGCATGTTAATAAACTTGTCTGTTTTTAACTTGTTAATCTGTCTTTTGTTACAGTGGCCAGATGAGAACCTAGAAGGACAGAAGATAGTTTCCTCCCTATCAGTGCGTGTGCTCACCCACTCTCTCTCTCTCTCTCTCTCACACACACACACACACACACACACACACGCACACTTCTTTCACACTGAAGGTCAAAGCTAATTTTGATAATGGCAATGGGAATCCTGTTAGGGATCATCTAGGGAAGGCCTGTGGACGTGGGAAACGAGGCTAGTCAAAGGGAAAGAGGCATCTCTTAGCACTTGACACCAAATATGCTTTCTGGAACAGCGGTGGAGTGGCACGTGGAAACCCGTGACAGGTTTTATTAATTTTTTAGCAGCTTGTTGGCGAGGCTTTTTTCACGCGGAGATACGTAGTATGTTCTCTTGATTGCTCGCCTCAAGAGGCAAGAACCTGAAGGAAGCTATTGACTCTAAACTGATCCTCACCTCTTGTTAGACTGTTGTCCCTTTGGCGTTAGTCCTCTTTAATAAACGAGAATGTGATACTAGTTATTGCACCAAACCCCATCGGGTGCATTGTATTTGATTCTAGATTCAAAGGTCACCCAGCCCCTGCTAGTGACGGATTCCGTGAGGACAATCTGTGAGCCTCCCACTATAACACTACAATTTCCTCTGAGTTCTATCATTTGTGCTTTGCTGAAGAAGCATGGCATTTTTTATCTGCTCCTTCTGCCATGCCTCCAGTATCATAGCTAAAACTCAGAATGATGAGAGAGGGAAAAGGGCACAATATTATGGTCAGAGAATTCAGAGGCATATTTTCACGCAATTATTTTTGTAATAGCAGAATAAACCTATTTATATAATGGAGTTATACTAATAAATAGCATATTAAATTTCCTACTGGGAAAATGACTTAGAGGTGATGGGAGCCTCATCTATATAAAAACCAGGCAGAAGAAGCTGTTTCCAGACGGGTTTCCAGGGGAAAAATAATCAGCTCTTCAGATTCTTTCTCTCCTGTCTTTGCGCTCGCTGGCAAGTCCAGCTCTGTGTCTGTGACCTCGTGGGTCCTGGATCACCTCATTTCCACATGTCAGCGGTTCAGAGCGGATCTTCAGAGGCCGCTGGTTACTAATTTAGTCGGGGTCTTTGATTACACGCAGCCCCCACTTGAACCATGCTGTTGTCTGTCCCCTTGCATTAGAGACACTGCGGGGCGGGGCGTGGCAGTCTGGACGACACCTGTTTGCCCTTTCTTGCGCTTAAATTTCTGACTGTGGTTTGTGTGGAGGGAGGAGTCTCCCCTGACGAAAATGGCCCAGTGAAATGCCCCAGGAGGGTGGCCACCTCGCAGGGGTGGGCTGGCCCCCAGGAGCGGCCGCACCCCTTGTTGGTCACGGGTTCTTTGCTGCTGGAATTAGTAAAACGTCCTGCACTTTATTTTTAGTAAACGCAGTTTCAGTTGGGGTGAAGAAAATATACCCTATGAGAATCATGGTATTTTCTCAAACAACCCAATCTAATGCACAGCATGGTGACTCTAGTTAATGATACTGGACGGCGTACTTGAAATTGGCCGAGGGAGTAGACCCTCCATGTTCTCATCACACCAAAACCATAAGAACAGTGACTGTGTGCGGTGAGGGAGGTGTTAATGAGCTGGATTGTGGTGATCATGTCACCGGGAATGCACGTATCAAGCCATCAGGTCGTGAGCCCTACGCATACACAATTTTTAGTTGTCCATTTGGCCTCCATCAAGCTGGAAACAGTAGCAGTGAGTACCCAACATGCAGCCACTGCCAAGTGAGACTCCGAGGATCTGCCATGGAAGGAGGGCCCTCACCTCAGAAACCACTGGAATTTCTGCGCCAGCCAGCTCAGAAACAAGACCCGGATGCTGAGGGCTTCACAAGGACGCGGAAATGAATGTGGACAAGGACTTGGAGGGAAGAGCAGCGGGTGATCTGCCCAGAAGTGCAGCCATCTTCAGCAGAGGCGAGGGGTCTCGGGGTCACCTGGCATGTGGCACTCGGCCCCCACCTCCTGATCCGGAGCAGTCTGGGCCAGGGGAGGCCCCTTCCCTGCACAAGAAAGTGCATAGCCCGGGGAGGTAGTAGGGGAGGAGGTTTGGGCAAGGAGCTGGGCTGGGACCAGAAGGACCCCAGACAGAGGCTCTGCAAACCAGGCGGACAGAATGGCAGACAAGGGGCAGGTCCTTTCTGGCTGAAAACGTCTTTCTTGGGAATCGGAGGCTGAGAGGTGGCAAGAGGGAGTGTGGGGAGTGGGTGAGGAGGGGGCAGCCAGGCGGGAACCCCTCTCTCCGGGAGAGGAGCAGGAGAGAGCCGAGGGCCTCCACGAGGGGACAGGGGCTCTTGTCCCGTCGAACCGTTTCTGCCTGTCTGTGACAAAATGTGGGCAAATAGACCAGGGCTATTGACAAAGAGTGAAGTTCTCCATGCCTCTTGATTAAAGTGCCTTGGATGGCGCAGTGAGAATTGTTAACTTAGAAACAAAACAAAAGAACAAAGACCTCTACAAGACATGAGTGCTTGCATGCACAGTTTTGTTACTCTGTAGCCCAACTGGTAACTCGTGACAGAAGCTGGGTCTTGACAGCTGTGGTCAGGAACAGCAGGATCCTGGGCCTCTGACGCCTCGGTGGCTGTCCCTGCAGGGCTGGGCGAGACTCAGGTGGGAAGAGCTCCGGATAGGTGAGTGATGGCCATTTTCAGCTCTACTGCCCAGCCAGATGGTGCCTGAGCGGAGCAAGATAAAGACTAACCTCGCCCAGTTGGCTCCCAAGGTGCCAACCTGTTGGGCCCCCGGGCTCATGCCTCACATAGGGGCCGGGCAGTGTGGGGGCTGTGGGGCCCTGAGAGGAGCTGACATGGTGTCTCCTGCCAAGCCCCTTGTCTTCCGCTGGGGAGTGGGACCCACGAGGGTGAGGGGATGGACAGCGGGCCCGGGATGACAGCAAGTGGGTGTCCGCGGCCCGGCCTGAGAGCCGGGGGGTGGGGGGCACACAGCAGGAGGAGGAGGAGGAGCAGTGACAACATTTTCCATGTGTCCCCGTGTTTATTTCAGGGGCTCCTGCTAACTGGCTCTCCCCCTCCCCGCAGAGCTGATGAAGAGTCAGCGTGCCTGTGCTCAGGCTCCCGCACCCGCCCAGACTTGACGCTGTAGTTGCCAGCAGGAAGTACTGAGCCTGCGTGACAGTGCCCCCCGAGTCCGGAGTTACCCTCCGCTAAGGAGGGAGGGAGTGATGGAGGAGAGAGGGGGAGGGAAGGAGGGAGGGGGAGGGAGGGGAGGGAGGGGGAGGGAGGGGGAGGAGGGGGGAGCAAGGGAAGGAGTAGCAGGAGCCCCTCCCTCTGCCACATCTACTGCTTTGTCTGCGCCTCGGCTAGCAGTGTCGACAGTGCCTGACAATCCTGTCACCTGCTCTGCATAACCCGGGGTCGCGCTTGAGTACTGGCACCTTCTTCTCGCCGCCCCCGTCAGGTGTTGGGCTGCGCTTGGATGACGCGGGAGGCGAGAAGGAAGGACAAAGCCTGTCTGTTCCGGGCGGAGCCCCGACGGCCCCGGGAAGGACGCGGGCTGGGGCGGCCTGGGGGTCTGAGCTCTCCTCCCACACAGCCCGACGCTCACTCCCAGAGAAGCGCGTCTCTCGGATTTTTTCAGGTCACAGGCGGGATGGAAATGAGCTTCTGCGCGGCTGCTTCCCACATCCGGATTTAATAGACTTTTTTCCACTGATAAAAGACCACTAATGAGTTCATTTTCAAGCTATTAAATGGGCTATAATAGCTAGTTCTACTGATGATTGCCGGAGACCCGCTGGTCACACTGGGTTCTGTCCCGCGTTAACCGTTGACGGCCCTGGCGCTGGCAGGCTGCGGCTGAAGGAGGGGCGCCCGCGGCCGCCTCTGGCTCTGCGCCCGGTCCTGTGTCTGGGAGGCTGGGAGGCGCGCACGCGGGGCGCGCGCAAAACCGCGAAATCGTTCCCCTCCTTATGAGAAGGCTCAGGCCGGCGCGAGCGAACCACGGGGCAACGTTCCCAGCTGCCGCGCGGACTGCCTGCCCTCCGCACACTGTGCTTCCCAAGGCACGTCTGTGGGGTTTTGCTGCCCTCCTGGAAAGGGCCTGGAACAGAGACTTCCTCTGGGTGGGTTCTTCTCTCCTGGCACGCCAGAGCCCACGGGTGTGGCTGGGAGCCACACACGAGGTTGCCTGCGCGCCAGGGCTGTTGGGTGGGAAATGAGCTTGTCCCCCTGTGTCCAGTCATTATAACGCGTGCAATTAGCCAATAGCCTCTCCAGGTGTCTGGCTTAAATACACTTCTCCCGCGTTTAAAGGCAAGTAATTAATAGCAGGGTTGCTCACCGCCTCCGTCTGCCCTTTTCATTCCGAGTGTAACAGGGCTCCTTCAGATTGGCGCCTAATGCATCCGTTTATTATAATTTTGTTTTTAGCTATTTAAGCAAAGGTGCCCGGGGAACTTCAAGCTTGGGCAGCCACCAGCTGAATTGGATTGCTGAATTTTATTATTATTATTATTATTACCGCCTGTTTTCCTTTTTAAAATTGTTTTATTAGGAGGGGCCCAACAGGCCAGAGACGTTAAACTGCACAGTGATAAACTGTAATGTGGGCGATTAATGGCTGTGGGTCACCTCAGGTAGCCTGGCTGGCCTGTGCGGGGGCGGGGAGCAGCGTGGGAGTGGGGGCTCCAGAGCGCTGTGTTGCTTTCATCAATGTCTCTCTGAGCCAGAGCGGGGCGGGGGGGGGGGTCTGTGGGTGCAGGATATACAAAGGGAACCGTAAAGTAAGGCCTCCCTGTATCTAGCACAATTTTTTTCTGCCATCCAAGCTAGGACTGACATGAGTGAATGAATGAATGAATTCACTATTACATCATATCTTCACAGACCTCTTTGTTTCAGTGAGAACAGTAACGGTTCTACATGCATTAAGGGCAGTAGTCCTTAGAGTTTGGGGCCCGGGGCGGGGGGCGGGTTTGAAGAGGAGAGAGCAGGGACTGAGACGCACGCTCCCTCTGTCCACCCCTGGGCTGGCTGATTCTTGCCAGTCCTTCAAGTTTGCTCTCCTGGTTTCATTCACAGCCTCCCGGCAACCCCTCTGGGCCCACACTCTGTAGCCGCTCTCTCCAACACCATGCTCTCTCCCTGCTCACGGGGCTCACGTGGCACCAGCTGATGAAATAGATTCCCACGTGTCCCCCTGTCCCATACCACAAGTGGCTCCCAGGCGTGGCCAGAAACGCTCTCCATCTTCCTCCCTTCCCTACACCCAGTGCGGTGCCGGGCTTTTCACATTCAGGATACATCTTTCCAAAGAAGGGAAGGAGGGTGCTGCTTTTCTGGGTCAAGCAAGCTGAGAGAAGGGTCAAAACATCTATAAAACAGGAGTAGGTTACTTGAGGTCGAGAGCTACTCTTGGTTCTGGTCAACTGGGCCTGTGGGGCTGGTCAAGGAGCAACCCTTTCGGAGGGGTGAAGCCTCGGTTCCCAGAGACCCCCCTGTCTTCTGGTATCTGCTGGACCAGGTCATGCCTGGAGCACCGTGAGGTCACGAGCTCTTCCTCTGTATGTCCTAGTAACAAGGTCCCTCAACATAGTGCATGCTCACCCACTGGTGGGCGTTTTCTCCAGTCTTGTAGTAAAGATTCAAGGATAAAACCAACCAAACAGCAGCTATGATAAAGCCATGCAGGAGTCCTTCACCATGAAGCCACTGCCATGACCAGGGACACAGCCACACACACACCCACGTTCCCATGACCCTCAAGGATGCCTCCCATCACTTCATGACTATTATCTCATGGTGTGAACATACAGCAAAAGATCTACTCTCCTAGCAAATTGCAAGTGCACAACACAACATTAGTTAACTTTTTAAATATTTATTTATTTATTTTAGAGAGAGAGAGAGAGAAAGAGCACCTGCGTGCATGAAGGAGCTCAAGTGGGGGGAGGGGCAGAGGGAGAGAGAGAGAGAATCTCAAGCAGACTCCATTCTGAGCTCAGAGCCCAACGAGAGGCTGGATCCCACAACGTGAGATCACAACCTGAGCCGAAATCAAGAGTCAGATGATTAACCGACTGCACCCCCAGACGCCCTGACCCAGTATTACTAATTAGTCATTGTGCTTCACATTGGGTTCCAGGGACTCACCCATCTCCGCACTGAGAGTTTGTGCCATTGGACCAACACCTCATTATTTCTGCACCCCAACCCCTGGCCACCACCATCCCAATCTCTGTTTCTGTGAGCGGGACTATTTTATATCCATATGTCCGTGGGATCGTGCGGTCTTTGTCTTCCTGTGACTTCTTTCACTCGGTGTAAGGCCCTCAAGCTTCATCCTGGTTGGGCACGTGGCAGGATTTCCTTGTCTTTTTATTGCTGAGTAATATTCCATTGTGTGTATACACTGCATTTTCTTTATCCACTCATCCATCCATGGACACCTGGGTTGTTTCTGTGTTATTGTAGATGATGCTTCAGTGAACATGGGGGTGCAGGTACCTTTTCAAGGTACTGATTTATTTATTTATTTTTTAAATTTTTATTGTTATGTTAATCACCATATATTACATCATTAGTTTTTGATGTAGTGTTCCATGATTCATTGTTTGTGCATAACACCCAGTGCTCCACGCAGAACGTGCCCTCTTTAATACCCATCACCAGGCTAACCCATCCCCCCACCCTCCTCCCCTCTAGAACCCTCAGTTTGTTTTTCAGAGTCCATTGTCTCTCATGGTTCGTCTCCCCCTCTGACTTACTCCCCTTCATTCTTCCCCTCCTGCTATCTTCTTCTTTTTTTTTTCTTAACATATATTGCATTATTTGTTTCAGAGGTACAGACCTGTGATTCAACAGCCTTGCACAATTCACAGCGCTCACCATAGCATATACCCTCCCCAATGTCTATCACCCAGCCACCCCATCCCTCCCACCCCCCACCACTCCAGCAACCCTCAGTTCGTTTCCTGAGATTAAGAATTCCTCATATCAGTGAGGTCATATGATACATGTTCAAGGTACTGATTTAAATCCCTTTGATATATACTCATAAATTGGGATTATATGGTTTCATGGGTACATACTTATCCCCAGACTCACTGTATTGTATGCATTAAACGTGCACAGCTTTCATGTGTTAAAAAATAAGGTGTATCTTTGTTTATTTGTAAAGCTGTAAGTTCTCAAACCTACCAGAGAAACACCAGGTACAGGAGGGATGGGGAAGGGCAGCCTTTGTCCAGGAAAGCCTGAGAGAAGGCACACCTCACACCCTGCTGGTTCTCACTAAGTCCATTTCCCAGGCCCAGATAAAACGACCTCATGTTAAAAGTAGCTGATCTTTCCTTTTCTCTTTGGACCTTCAGAGTGCTGAAGGCCCATAAATCAGAGGCACTCCCAGCCGCTGCTAAAATCTGTACTACTTGGCTCCTCTTTCAATGTACTCTCAGAACAAATAATTTAAGATGCTAGACAGTAGTGGGGGGTGGTGGAAATTCACTCCTATTTCTTTGGAAATCACCTGTCTCGATGATATTCTCTTTCCAATAATTGATTTTCTCCCCTTGCAGGCTCACTAATCAAGACCTAATGACCTGAGCTCCCCATTGCCCTGTACAGCAATCCAACGGGGTCCTTGCAGGGTAAGAACTTTGCTTCCTTCCATGACTCTACCACTCCTGTCCCACGTGCACCCCAGTTCTCCTCCTCTGTCCTTGGAAACAAGACTGTCCTTGTGTGACATCCTAAGACAGGAATATGACACGCGCATTAGGCTGAAGGAGAGAAAAAAAAATAATTTTGCCTTTGGTGTAATTTCAGCCCAGATACAGGATTCATTCCAGACGACCTTAGCTCAAGGTGACTTGATATATTTTCCTGGCAAGAGATTTTTTTTGTATCTCTCTTATCCACTCTTTTTCTTCTGGGAGAAATCCTTGCACAGGTTAAAAAAATTAATTATTTTACGAATAAATAAATAAAGAAGACGTCATCCTGGAAACGCCAGGCCTGCCGTCACCGCACACCTGGGCTCTTCCCTCTGTTGGGGTCGTTTTCCTTTTTCACTCTGCTGAGCGATGCCTATCTCCCAACATCACAAGAAATTCAGAAGGGTCACACCTTAAAGGGTGACAAAGTCTGTCGAGATTCCTCAAACCTAAGCTGTCGAAACTGGAATGGTCTTTCCAGGGCTTACCCCAATCACTCTGTCCCTCCTCAGGGACAAGTGGGGGCCTTTCTCTTAGGGAATTTCCATCTGCTCATTCAGCTTTGCACACTATTGTCTGCGGCTCCCCTCGCAGGCTAGGTTCCAGGAGGTGGGCTCTGAGACGGGGATCTGCATGTCCGCGGGTCTCAGGAAAGCTCTGAGGTCCAAGGGTTGAGATCACGAAGGAAGCAGGAGCAGGGAGTGGAGGGCCTCCCCCAAGGAGCCACAGAGTCCCGAAGGGTCCCCGTGCTTCTGCACCACCCCTCCTCCGTCCTCAGGTAAGGCAACGCTCTATGAAGCTGGAGTTGCTAGCTGTCAACCCTTCTGGGAGCTGGGGGCATGCTGAGGTGTTTGACCAGCAGAACGACCACTGGTCAAAACCCGTAAAAAAGTAGAAGGTGCTCATTACGTTTTGTTGACTTTAAGACAGTGCTAGGGATTGTTCGCTAACGATCACCACCCATCAGGGTTGTATGCCTCCACAACTCTGAGGTGGTACCGTTCCCGTCTTCGTGTACAGAGGAGAACGTTGGAACGGACGGATGTTAATAACTGGTCCACATCAGGAGCCAATACTGCAGCGGGTTGGTGTGAACTTAGAGATTATACTGTGAACCGCT